GGATTTCAAAAAAGACTTGAAATAGTGCTAACCTGTTCCAAAATAAGACATTATGCTAAAAATTCTAAGTGTGGACAATTTTAAAGTGCATATTGTTTAATACCATTGGCTATATTGACAAAAATTACTAACCTGATCGAAAAATGTTAAAGTTAAATATAATTAATTCATTTTATCATAATAATATAAAGCCTAGCCGAATATAAGAGACATTGTATATGCTTTATATCCACTACATTTTATAAAATACCATAATTTAATATCACTTTACCTTAATATGATTATTGAATGTCTCACAGGAGAATGTACCCTGCTTCATGAAAGCATTTTGGTTCCTGCGCATCAGATTCAACTCTTCCTGCTGAAAGCTTCGCTTCGACAAACCTTCTACATTCACATACTCTTGTGCTCTTCTTGCTTCAAGGTCATTAGCTCGGTTTTCCATTGCTTTTTTAACCTGCTTGCTAGTCGGTGGCTCTTTAAGAGGATTCATTCTGGCCAGACCTGGATGGCGGCCACCAACCACCCCACGTTTGCTGTCTTTCGAGTCCTCATTCTGGCTTCTTTCTCCATAGATTTGTGAGCCAGTGGCAGAAGGATTTATTATTTTTTCAGAAGTTAAATATGAATTGCTTTGGGGCAAAACAACTAGTCGACCGTCAGGCAGAAAGAGGGGTAGAGCACAAGCATGTGCCCTTTTCGGCCACATCAGGTATGGATACTTTGATACCATCCCGAGAACAGCCGGTGATTTATATGCTTTTTTGTCTTTTGCCAGATGCCGTGCCTCCTGTTTCGTCAATATCTGATGATCTGGATAGCAGATAGGGTACATGGGTGGAAAATAATTTCCACTTTCTGGAATGGCTACGCTGGCTGAGGGAATAGTCGCAAATAGAGGCTGTTCAACGGACGGCGCCTTACCTGCTAATTGTCCAGAGAATGATCTGGGAGATGAACGTTGCTTGAATGGGAAATCAAGAAATTTCATAACTGACAAGGTTTTATGGCCTCTCAACGTGCTGCAACTTCCCATATCATGAAGTAGTAGGCTAAAATAATATATAAACCAGATTCAAGTAACTATGCTATCTCAAATCCAACTTTTAGATAGTTGTCATTTCCTCAGTAAGAAGTATAAAGCTATTGAAAGCTTAGCGTAGTAGTGAGCAAATGACGTCCACCTAGAAATATTTGGAAAATCCTAATTTTACTTAAAACAAAGCTAACTTTTGGTTCAAAATTCAAAATTTAAAATGTTAGCAAGTAAACCACTTTTCGTTAGATGGTGTCGAAGCTGGAACTCTAGCTGCTTAGTAAACACGTAGTTAATGGGTGGCGTAGGATGAAATATGACAATCAAGCATTTACTATTTATTTGCACGATATAAAGCAAATGCACGAACGAAACTCCGAAGGGCATCTTTAAAAGTTCGGGATTAACATTTACAAGTAAACTGAAATAGAATCAATTTATTAATAGTTTATAAGTGGGCTTTCTAAAGTAATAGTAGCTCAAATTTATATGAAATGAATTCATCCTATTTCATTTAGTGTGAAAAAGAGTTTGCTAGTTGAATTTTCCAACAATTGTATTAATAGACGAAACGTTTCCACTGAATTCGCATAGACCTGCTTTATGAAAAGTTATTCTCAACCATGATGGAATGCAGTTTCGACCTCGCATAAATCTAATCAACATCCTTAGCTAGAATCAAACCGCGACACCGCAACGTATAATCAAAATATGTTGACACTAATACCTATTACAAAGAGTGCCCTTGGGTCACAAGGCAGATGTGAATTTTGAGGAAGACTAGGCATTATAAGAGAAAGATATGTTATGTATCTGAGTGCTATAAAAAATACAACTTTGCTTCATCTACAATCCCACCACACAGTGTGTTATGTTAAATGGCTGGCCTTCCTTGAATTTCACATCTGCCCTTTGACCCAAGGGCACTTGTGGCAATGTGGCGTAGTGGTAAATGTGTCGAGCTTATAAGCCGCACTATCATGGTTCGAGTCTCGCTAGGGTTTTAGATAAGATCTAGGACAGGTTGAAACTGCAATTCACTTTGGATCAGAATAATATTCGGGAAACTAAGGCTATGTGAAATTCAATAGAAAAATCATGTCTACTCATATAATTATAGGAAGATTTAACTACGAATACAGCTCAAATATATAAATCTGTTTACTTATTTTTTTAGCGAGCTAATACAATTCATCAATGGCGATTCATTTTTATAGGGACATTATGCGTCAATGTAACATCCATTTTTCGCCAAAAATACTCTTTATAAATCTAAATTATGTTATACAGTAGTAAAATGTGAAAAGATTACGTTACTTAT